GGGCCGCGACTCCTCCCCGCCCAGCCCCTCCTGCGCCGCTGCCTCTTCCTCCTCCTCCTCCTCCTCCTCCTCCTCCTCCTCTTCGCGCCCCTCCTCTCCCCTCAGGGTGGGAGGCGCGCGCTCCCCGGACCCGCGCCCCCGGCAACCCCCACCCCACCCCCGTCCGCGCACAGCCTAGGCCTCTGGGCTTGGAAGTGCCGTGACTCCGGGAGGAGGAGGAAGAAAGTTCTAGTCCAAACTCCAGACGCGGAGATTACTCTTGGGCACGCTCGCCGCCGCCCTGCAGACAAAGCTGCCCGGAGAGCCCCCGCAGGGAAGCCGGGAGGGAGCAGGGGGGCGGGATGGGGACCCTTGACCTGCAACCCGCCAGAAAAGTGCCCCTAAGGAGAAATCTTAAAAGGAATCGCCTTTCCATCTCCATGACCACTGACTGGCTCAGTCAACCTCTCCACATCCACAGATTGGCGAGCCTGCTCTTGGCACAGGGGAGCCTTGTTCCAGATTCGCCAGAGCTAGGAAACAGGTTCCTGCACTTTCCAAGTGTCCTCCTGCAGGGTGAATTAGGCCTGGTGGAGAACTTGACATTGGCCAATCTAGAGCTCCCATATATACCAGGTGTTTAAATATCTACAAGCAAAGTACATCAAGGAGGGACCCTGGTAAGGCACTGTGTTAAGAGTTGGCTAATATACCCCAAAGAAACCATAATGCTACCCAAGCAGATATATGCACAACCATGTTTATTGCGGCTTTGTTCACAATAGTAAAGAGTTGGAAACAACCCAGGTGCCCATCAATAAACCAGTAGAAAAGCTGTGGTATATTCACACAATGGAATACTATGCCGCATTGAAAAACAAGGAACTCATGAATTACTATACAAAATGAGAGACCATGGAGGACGTTATGCTGAGTGAAGTATCTCTGTCACAGAAATGCTTCATAAAGCTACTGTTGTAAAGCGGGACTGACATGGGGTTGGAGAGAGACTGAGAAAAGAGGTGATAAATAATGTATACTGCTTTGAAACAGATGAGGGAGAGAACTGTTAAAAGGTGTATGTGATTAGGTATTATTGTCATGACAGGAGTCCAGAACGAAGCCTGCAGAGTGGAGTGGACTCTGAGGAACTGATTGTGTAACAATGAATGAATTTTTCTTTTACTTTTCAAAGAGAAGAGTGAACTGGGGGTGGAGGAATGGGCAGGGAAAAAAGTGCAATAATAAATGAGTAGAAATCCAAAGTCTCTGTAAACTTTAATTAAAATCAATTAAAAAAATAACAACAGTTGGCTAAATAACAGAAAGGTCATTGGTTCCAATGCACCAGCACTTTGTGACCCTCTGCTGTCCTCAAAACTTTATGGGGACTTTCTAATCTTGTTATTAGGTGTTCTTGAATTGGAACCAACTCACAACTGACCCTCCAGCGAAGTTTTCAGACACAGTAGACTGCACAGGAGTTGATAATGCGTCACTCTCCGGCACAGCAGCTCATGAGTTATTATAAATTGGAGTTGCCTGGAAGGCAGTAAATGAGTACATCTGGTGGCATAGCTAGTAGGGGTCGAACTGCTAACCAAAAGATTAATGGTTTGGATCCACTAGCAGCTTGGTGTAAAAAATAGAGAATCTACTCCCATTCCCATTGAGATTTATTCCCTCTAAAACTAAAGGAAGGTCCATGTGAATTAGAATCAATTGGATGACAGTGCATTTAGAGTTTTTGGTTTCGACAGTAAGAAATATACTTGAATAACAAGCCTAGACATCCAGGATTATATACAGAATTTTCTAACACCTTGGAGTCTGGGTCAATCCTGAAATGGAGGGCAGAGCCAGGTTGGAGCCCTTAGTTTTGTTTCGGGTACCAGCTTCATCCAGGAGCCAAGGAACAGAGTGAATACCTCACTCTATCACCCTCCTCCAGCCTTTGAACAGATGTTCCTGAACTAAGGTTCAGACCTAGAAATATATGAGAGACAGATTGTGGGGGGTGTGTTTACTTGGAGCTTGGAATGGTATTGGTCTTTTCAATCACTTATGCTTGGAGATCTGGACAAAGAATAAGAATGTCAGAAGAATCGATGCCTTTCAACTGTGGTGTTGGAGGAGAGTACTGGACATCCCCTGGCCTGCCGAAAGAACAGATGTGTCTTGGAAAAGGTGCAGCCAGACTGCTTCCAAGAGGCAAAGATGGCTTTGCTTCACCTCACATACTTTGGGCATGATGCGAGGAGTTGTTACCTGGAAAGGGACATCATGCTTGGGAAGGTGGAGGGACAGTGAAAGAGATGAAGAACGTCAACCAGGTGGACTGATACGGTGACTGTAATACCAATGAGCTTGCGTGTGTCAGAGATTGTGAGGATGGCACAGAATAGGACAGGGTTCAGATCTGTTCTTCATGAGTTCATGATGAGTCATACTCAACTCATTGGCAACTAGCAAGTATGACCATCTTTGGGATTCCTGGTGGCAAAATAGTCAAGGTGTTCAGCTCCTAACCAGCATTTTGGAGTTTTCAACTCCAAATCTGCTCTGTAAGAGAACAGTGAGCGTCCATAAAGATTTACAGCCTTGGAAATCTGGAAAATAGTTTTACTCTGAAGCCTATTCAATGACAGCGAGTTTGGTGGTTTTTTTAAATGTGTTTAGACATATGAGAGAGTCTTGGTAGTGCAGTGATTAAATTGTTTAGCTGCTACCTTGAAGTTATGTTGCTCCATAGGGGAATAGTGGTTCCATGAGAACTTACAGCTTTGCAAAACCTACGAGGTAGTTCTCCTCTGTCTTATGGGGTAGCTAAGAGTCAAAATTGAACTCGACAGGCAGATTTTTATTTGGTTTGTCACATTGGAGAAGTCCCTGATTGACAGCAGTGATTAAGCGCTCCACCACTGGTGCGCAATGGGACAAGGTTCTAATCTGCCATTCATAGAGTCATTATAAGTCCTAGTTGACAAAAATGGCACCTAAAAATTAACTAACAAAAGTTGACTGCAATCTATCGAGAGGTGCTTCTTAAGAAAAATATGGTGATCTGCCTCCCAAACACTGTGTTGTTCCCGTTGAGTCAACTACGATTCATAGAGACCCGGTGAACAACAGAAGCTTGTCTAGCCTGCCGCCAGCCTCCCGACCTCTGTCATGCATAAGCCTCCTGAGGTAGTCACTGTATTAATCCATCTCTTTGAGGGTCTTCCTCTTCTTTGGCTGACCCCCTACTTTTCTCAATGCGATGTCTCTCTCCAAGAATCTGAAAATGCACCCAGAGTAAGTGAGACAAAGTTTCTCTAACTATGTGGTTTGAATCCACCAGATGCTCTGCCGGAAAAGGAGGGACAATCTCCTCCTGTACCTGTCGGATCTGATTTGACGGTACAGACACACACAAAATTAAAAAAAAA